TTTTTTTTTTTTTTTTTTTTTTTTTTTTTTTTCTGTTCTAATAGTTAATGAAGGAAATTGTTGTTTTTATGTTCAGTATTTATGTGCGTGTTTTTAACACTGCTCACGCAACGATGTTTCACTGCGATAAACTGTTTGTGATAATAGATGATACCAAGTTTTTCATTCCAGTTTAATTTTTGTTCCAAATTGCTACTAAACAAAAAAGAAAAAAAGCCTAGAAACAATAATATAGTAAAAAGTTTCATTATATTAATTTATGCGAATAATAATTTGAAATTAAATATTGTTTTAATGTGTGAAAATGGCAAATTGTTCATTTAAACTATCATAACTGCATTTGAGAAAAATTAGTTCTTTAAATCATTTTACAGTTAGCTACATTAATCATGAAAACTCTTCAGTCAACTACAAAATCTTCAGTTATTGCTTTTTTTTTGCAAAAATACAAATATATAATAATTTTAATCTTTTTGTTATCTGCTGTACAGAGAAGGCAAAAAAAAAATACTTCTTCTAACGGGAAAAACGCTATTTAGCTTACTACTAGCTAGAAAATTCTGTTGTGGAGGTTCCGCTCAAACGTAACTAGGAATAGTTTTGCGGACTCTCAGATCCTTTTATAATTCTGGACAACATATAAGCATTCAAAACTAGATTTTAGAAGGGGCACATTTTCAAGGATACGGCAAGAAAGAAGCTCTCTCCAAGACAACGAAACTAAAGCTAGCATGAAAAATGAAGAAATTTATAATTGTTTGTTTGACACACTTAATAACAAGCAACAATTTCTATACAACCTGGAGAAATGCGCTAACAGAATTGGTTCTAATTTATATCAGAATCACCAAAATTACCTTAAACCGGATCCATAATCAAAAAACGTTATCTGTAAATTTTGCGCAAAAAAACAAAGTGCAACAATATGCATAATATAAAATTTGTTATAACCAAGCAATACACTCAGTTTGTAGACTTAGTCCGAGCTGCAAAAATAGAATGCTAATTTGTTGATCGCTTACATGACCACAAATTTAAATTAGGCTTCCTAGATGTGTTTCTACGTTACGATGAGACCAGTTATTTCAAAAATAACGCTATTCTTTGAAACTAAATAGAGAAGAAAAAAAGTATAAAAATAAATTTATTTACAACTGAAAGATATATTTGTAGAGGTAAAAATAGAGGGAACAAGTTGATTGAATAAACCCTTACAAGCACATCAACATATACAACGAGGTATAACTGACTAAACCAATGTAACCCTCAAATTCAACAAACAAATAAATGATAAGTATTCGTACATAAAAGATGATAAAGATAAATGAAAAACAAATAAATAAGTGGAAATAATAGCATAATAGGATAGTAACAGTGAAGAGTAATGAGGTTTACCGAAGCCAAATATCCTAAGAAGCAGCACTCCAAGAAATCATTTGTTGCTCAAAAAAACTAAAGCATAGCCAACAGTACAGATGCTACCGCGCCAAGCAAAATGGAGCGTGTGCTACTGCTAAATTCCACGTAATCTAAAATATTCTCAAGGTTGACTGTGCGATAGAAATTATGTGAGCTGATCAACTGCAACTAGTCTTTTCAGTGAGCGTAACAGATGGTATGGTTCAAAAACCACTGTGAAAAAACCTCTTTTTCAGCAAAGAATTGATCTCTTCATATTTTGTTTTGAAAAGACTTATTTTTCTTATGGTCTTAACTACTTCTACAGATATTGTGTAACAAACTTCTGATCAAACTAGTAAGTCTTGGTCTGATAATCGCCTCTTTAGCTGGGCGATCAGACCTTGCTCAAATTATCAAATTTTTAATTGACTAACCAGAAGTCCTAGTCACTTAACTTGAGAAGTGACCCAAGCATATTGGTGATATGTCATCTGACCAAAAAGCAGCCAGAAAAGTAGTAAAATTTTGTTAGGTAATTGACGCTTCATTGTTTGATCAAAGTCTGATCACAAGTTCATCAAGGCCTCACTACATAATCAATATGTGAATGTTCTGTACTAAGCGAAGTACTAAAAAACTCAAAAAAAAGAGGATAAATAAAAAGCCTATCAAAAACTGTTTTTAAGATATACTGTTTTAGTTAGTTTTTTTTAGGTCATTTTGAATAAGAATATTCATTCTGCAAAATAAGGCTAAAAAAGATATTTTTTTAGGTTTAAGTACGGTACTTGTCAAAAGACTAATTCCCAATTTTTGGCCCTATTTTTTTTAAAAACATTGCTAGATGCGGCGATGGGGCTAAAACTTATCCAGGCTTCCCAGGTTATTTGATTTTTCTTACACAAGGAACTGTTGACTACTGTCATCAAACAGCGACGGCGACGACTGCATAAAACCAGGGTTCCACACGTTTGTACATTGCCAAGGCGTATAACCTGGCATAGTTGTCGGATAGCAATACTGTTGCGTGTTCAAAGGTGGTTGCTGATATGTAAACTGTGGCGTTAGCGGTACATCAAACTGTTGGAATGTGGTTGGCGTATAAACCGGTTGATGTTGTAATGGAGGCATTGAATTGAATTGCATATCACCAGTTGGACTGAAAAATCCAGCTGTTGGCATACCGTCACAATCAAAATTTCGTTTAATTTCCGGAGACGGAGTAGTACCTGAAACTGGTTGCAGCGGCGTTGATAAGTCTCAAGTAACAAATTGTTCCTCAATTAAAAAATGACAAGAAACTTATGCTCTCTGTCTTATCTTTTTAAAGGTACTTCATACAACTAGGCAAAGAGAAAAGAAAAACCGAAAAATCACCTGTGCTCGAAAGTGAACGTTTTCGCTTGTTTTGTCCGTCACGAAATCCCTTGGCATATGGATTGTTGGTTATTTTTAATGCAGTTATTCTATTGTTCTGATATGCAGTGACTGCGATAAACTCCTGGATTCGATTACAAAATTCGAAAATCTTAATAAATCGTTCTTGTGGTAAACAGAAATTGTTGACTCGTTCTATGATATTTTCAGATGTATACACTGTGACTACCGGCTGATACTTCCGCATAGATTGTAACAGTACCTGTAAAATAACTAAATGAATATCTAAAGTTGCTATAAAAAACTACATAAACTGGTGTCCGTTGGGCAAAACACTGCCGTACAAAAGCGAAGACTGGTAATAAGAACAAACGACATAAACAGTATACATTTCCACGTGGATCCTCAGTGTTATTGGTGATTTTAACTCGATCAAATTTGATACCACACTGCACCCAAATATCGCCAGTTTGCCAACCGTCTGGATGTATCACTTTCTGCGGTAAAAAATTTGGTTCGAAGCATTCAGTTGGCGCCCATCCATCTTCTTTAAATTTATACCTATAGTATGGATTATTAGTTTTACAAGAAACAACTTCTTTTGTTTTTGTGGATCATAGAAGCGAAAATATATATATATTTAGAGAGAAAGAGGTGATAAGGAGAAGGGTCAAGTGGGTCAACTGACTTCTTGTTATCGGCTAAATGAAAGTGAAGTTCCATCAAATATCGTCGTTTTGGTTCCAAACCGCTGATTTTGTATTGTAGTCGTGGAAACAACTTCCTAAACGGAAATTGGCAATTTATTTATATTACCAAATCTACCGACTTCCAAAATCATTTGCTTTAACTGCAAAAAACACTGGAAAACTGCACCTTCCATTCTTTGTCAAAACCATTTCCGTTGAAAGCGCAGAAAATTCTCTCCAAATTTTTTCATTCACGATCCTTATGTTAATACCTTTCTTAGCAGCCATATTGGACCGGTATAAGGAAACTGGTTGATTAAGCTGTGGTAAAAGAAAGAGGTAATATGTCAGATAAATAATTCATGAAAATAATATTACTGAAGAAAAACTGTAATACTTGTGTACTTGGTTGATGAACAGTAATACCCGTAAATCCTTTGAGTTGGTTGCGCATTTAATCCTAATTACTAAAAATTAGTTCAAAGAAACTGTAATTTTTATAGCGATGCTGACGTTTTAAATCCACTTAATTTGATTTGCTATTGTAAGAAAATCTTACTAGGTTTATTCAAAGACAAGTTATTTGGAAAGAAATTGTAAAACTTTCTAAGCAATTGTTACCAAAAAAAGCTTCTAGAAATTGCATAAACGGTTAACTCTTAATTTTTTCTTCAAAAGCGCTGTTCTATTTCGGAAATTAATTTTATGTAGTTCAAAGTTAACACTCATAGTTTGTAAATCTATTGAATTTAGAATTGGTAATGTAAGGTAAGAATTGTACGTTCAATTTTGCATTGCAAACTGTTCAAATTTAAAAAATATACTTTCTAATCTACCGGAAGAAAGAAACAGCAGCAAAAAAATGCAGAATCTTCACCGGTTTTAAAAGTCAGTACAGTCTTTCAGTTTTTGAAATTACTTTTTCACCATTATCTTTCAAACAACTACAGTTTTTACTTCATCAGTTTTCTTTGACACCTGTAAACTCATTTCACTTACTGATTCCAGATAGTTATTGTTCAATTTTCCGCTTACACTTTAAGCATTTTATCGGCCAGGAAAAATGATGATACGCAAAGTTTCTCCAAATCTTCAAAAGACAAAAAAAAAATCACTGTACAATAAGT